CATAACTGGAACCTTTTTTTTTATCTTTTCAAGTCCCCTCATCCTATTATCTTCAAAATGCAGCACAAAGAAATCAGACATCTTTAACCTATCAATCCCCAAAATAATCTTGTAAACTTGAATAAAATAACCTCTTCTTTTCTTAAGAGAAAATAAGATAATCCTCTCATCTCTGGAATTATTCTATTAGCTCTCCTCTGAGCCCTTTCCAATAAGTCAATATCATTTCTTAGATAAGGAGATCAAACTGTACACAGTATACTCCAAGAAAGGTTGGTTAACTAGTGGTTTGCATTAGAAATAATTACATATTTTGACCAGTAGTCAATATGTCTATCATTACAAACTTTATTTTCAATATTTTAATTTAGTTGTTTGCTATATGGAGCTACTAATCATAATGATGATACAATATCTTGAAAGTTCATGTAATTTGTAGAAATAAAGGTACATATAAATACAAGAATCAATGAAGTAATGAGTGACTGAGAAGTTACTCTGCAATAATTTAGTCATTACATTCAGCTAACAACTGATTAGTAAGAAACTTATACAAGTAAGTTACATGCAAGTTAAGTGTAAATACCATTAGTCTAGGAATTTCTGGTACAACATTGCTTGTGAACTTAGGCCTACAAAAAACAATAAACTTATCCTGTAGAAACATTGTAAAAGAAACTAATTGATATCACTATGTGGAATGAACTTGGCATTATTTTTCCCAAATTATCCAAAAGGACCTGGCCATAGATAGAATATATTGCAACAGTATAAACATGCTAAAATTCTATTGGATTTTCTAATTGCACTGTTTCAATGATTTGAGTAGATTATCCATCATTATGCAAAGATATTTTCTTTAGTCATACTATTGTTTTACTCATGTTATAAAAAAATATATTGTAATAATTTTCATGACAATTCCTAATTTTGTCACACTAACTTAGCATACAATTGTGAGCAAAAACAAAAAAATTACATGTACGCTTGTAAATGTAAGCTAGCCTTTAATGAATTAAACTTCCTTACATACCTCCAAATGTGGACAGCAATAATATAGTTTGTAGCTTATCTCTATTCGTTTTATTAATTATCATTTTCCTAAAGCTTTTCATAACATATCTCACAAAAGATGAATCAGTAAGTTTGATAATCACAGAAGAAACAGTAGAAAAGTTTAGAAAAGAACTAAAAATTTACTTTAGTGGTAGAAAGAAAACTGTCTGAAAAACCAAAACAGGCATATTTTGATTGTGATTAGTGTGTGGTCTATTCTGAGACCTCATTTGATCACTATTAGGGAGTTGCTTATGCAACTCAAATTTTTAAAGGGGATGGTAAAATGTGTCCTAAAAATTATAGCCCAGTTTGTCCATCTTTTATAATGTAAAAATTCTAGATATACTGATAAAACAAGCTTTATTATCACATTTATTTAAGTATGATATCATAAACAAGTGAAAACCAATTCGGATTCACCAAAGGGAAATTTTGTCTTCCTAGTCGGTTTTCTTTTCTCGGGGATGTTACTCGTTATCTGTATAATAGAAAGGGTGTGAACTTGCTGAACTTAAAAGCTGCAATATAAATGTATAGCTTCAAAAATTATATAATTAGGAACTGGAGAAAGACAAGTTAACTGGATCATATGGTGGATGGATGGGAGAAACTAAGTGGTTTTCATTAACAGAATCAAGTAAAACTGCACTCATGCTACTTATTTACTAGTGGATTAACTCAGGGTTCAGTACTTAGGCCTTTACTCCTTCTTATTTACATTAATGTTATTAACAAGAGCATAATTAGTAAGGTTTACTGATGATTTTAAATTTTTGGGTATTTTTAACTGTATTGAGAATGTCGAAGTACTACAGAGTGACTTGGGTTAAATGGTTAGTTACACAAATTTATGGTAAACGACCATTAAACACGCTATATATATAGTAAGTGTAAAGTAATGCATTTGGGTTTTCATAATTTTAATCCCACCTTTAATATAGATGGGAATCAATAACATGACTGAAGAAATTTCTTGCCATGGTGTTGTTTAATTCACTCAACCCATTAAAATAGTGTTCCGTTGCTAGTAGTAAAGCTAATAAAATTCTACGGTGTATCTACAGACATTGATTAGAAGTCAAAAGAGGTAATTATCTCTCCATAATTCACTAGTTAGGCTCAGGGTAAAATTCTCAAAAAAAAATTAGAGACCTGTACTCAGCTGGGTAAAGTGGACCTGTTTTTGAAAAAAGAAAACAAAATCTACGTACATATATAAAAAATGAAAATTTTTGTGTCAATGAATAAATTATTTCTGACAGAACAATGGAATGCATGCATATCTGTAAAAGTAGCTCAAGTAAGTTCCAGTACTCAGTACCAGTGAGTACTGGCAAATTTCACCCCTGGTTAAGTTTCTCTTTGAATACTGTGTACAGTTTTGATCTCCTTATCTAATAAAAGATACTTACTGGAAGAGGTTCAGAGGAGGAATATTCAGATGATTCCAGGAATGGAAGGGTTATCTTATAGGGATAGATCAAGATATGTCAACTTTCTTTCTCTTGAGAAAAGAAAGATATGATATTATTGAAGTTTAATAGACTATCTTGGGGATCAATAACATTAATGCCTCAATATATTTGCATTGTTTTCTGAAGATAAGAGGATGAGATGGCACATGGTAAAATTTTAGAAAAGACGGGCTAAGTTCAAGGTAAATCAGTTTTATTTTTCTAGCAGTGTGAATAACTTATGGAATGAGTTGCTATTGGCAGTAATGGAGCACAGCAATTTATATGAGATTAAGTGGAAAATCAATGTTAATATTCCTGGTCTTTCACACTGTTCCTATACACCCACCTTTGAGAAAAGTACAAACTTAAGCCCACCATTTATTTTCCAGCAATATGTGAAGTTGCCAACAGTAGTGCATTCTACAAATTAATCACCCTGTTAGAAAAAATAAGCTTTTTTAACTTGGGCCTTCCTTATCGAAATCTTAAACTTGTATCCTCTCATCATATTATCTTCAGAATATACCATAAATAATGCAGAAGCTTTTATGAGGTTATCTCTTGGATAGTCTTACAAGTTTAAATAAGATCACCTCTTTTATCTTTCTTTTTTAAAAAAAGTTAAGAGATCTTAACCTATCCCTACAAGGTAATTTTTTCAAGCTCAGATTCATCCTAGTAGCTTCCCTCTGATAAGTCAATATCCTTCTGAGATAAGGAGGCCAAAACTATACACAATATTCTAAGTAAGGCCTAACTAGTTATCTGAATAAAAATAATTACCATATTTGACTTGTAATCAGTATATCTATAAAGACACATACTAAACACCAGCAACAAAACAGTTCAACTACAGTTTGAGTAGCTTATCAACCAACACATGGACACTTTTTTCTTCAATCACACTATTGAGTGGGGTCACATCTATATTAGATGTGGTATCCAAATTATGATAGCCTAAATACATTAACTTGCACTTATTGTAAAGGTCACTTGCCAAATATTTGTTCAACAAACCAACAGAAAATTCATTCTGTAGTACCTTATTCCTCAGTACAGATAGAAATACCCAATGGTTTAATGTCATCCATAAATTTTACTAGTTATGCCCCTATTACTATCATTAAATAAGGAAAATAAGAAATAAGTAAATTGGTTGGTAATACTGATAGGATATTTGAAATTAAGTTTAACTTATTTTATACTAGTACTAAAATTTCTGCAATAAATTGCTCACATTATAAACTTTGATGGCAGTTAGCAATTAGCTTTGATGTGTGTTACCAAATTTCAGTTAAATGATGGTTATACTTTAATGTTTGTGACCTTTAGTAAAAAATGGTGTTAATAAATGAGGGAAGGAAATAAAAGCAACGAGTTTGGATGATTTAAAATTTTTGTCAGATAAGTAAATTACAGTCTAGTATTACATTTAACTTGTTTTTTTTGTGTTTTTGCTGTAGCTGATCACAGGCTAAATGGCTCTCTTCTGTCACCTTGCTTTTTCTTTTGTTCTCAGAAGCTGTATAACTTTAAAGGCTATTTCTTGAGAAATATAATTTTTTCAAATGTTGCAAGGAAAACAATCTATAATATGCACACATTTTGTGTAAGCAAATGGTTGATGAAGTTCAATTTTGTGCTACAAGTGACTATTCAACTATCAATATACAAGATTCATATGTTGGACTGTATGTGATATAGACATAACAATCTTGAACTGCTAATAGTGCTACTTGGGTAGTTTTTACTACTTCTGAAATAAGATGTAGAATTTAGATCTTTAATTCTGTGACTATCATATTTGAGTGTCATTTCAGAAAACCTATCAGCTTGTACATTATAATACATAAAATTACAAAAATAGAGTTCAACCCTTTTAGTTGCAAGAGGATAAAGTGTGAGAGTTAGCTAGTTACTTTTATTTTAGAAGTTATTTTATTTTCAATTCACCTCAATCCTTAATACAGACTACAACAGTGGTTTAGTATCTACATTATTCATTACACAACATTATTCTTTTTTTAAACAAACTATATTGTCACATATGATGCTTTCACCATCACTTTTAATTCTAATAATAATATGTACAAAACCATTGAAGCATATCATAGAATAATGTCTCACTATTCTAAAAGTAAAAGCTTAAGGAGGTAGAATATAAGGAAACAATTAAAAATAGATTTACAACTTAAGTTAAGCCATTAACAAATCATTTAGACCTCATAATCACAAATTATGTCGAATCTTATTATTGGACTATAGCTTTTCTTGCCTTTTTTTTATAAATACAGTGTATACCACTTACTCAATTTTATTTCTAGGCGATTAAGTTTATTTTTTTACTTCCCGACATGCATTCATGAAAAATCACAGTTACCTATTTTATCAAAATTTAATAGATAAGTGTAATTCATAAATTCTATTACGTATTACGGATCTAGTTGAAAAATAATAAATTTTAATGACACTTAATTCACTCACCAAAACTTTCGTGAACCTTCTTTCCAATTCACTTCGTTCAGGCATAGGCATTTTAAAATTCTCAACTGACTGTACGGTTGAATGATGTTTCGAAGTTCGTAATGGTACGCCTAACGATGTACCCACAGCATGAGAGGGTGAATTAACGTTACAATTCTCTGGTTGTGATTGAGAACTTTCCGAAATCCCCATATTATTATTAGTTGTAGTACTAGTAGCACTCAATTCCGTCTCAGGTTCACAGAAAACACACGCAAATTTAAGTCCTTTACGAAAGTCAGCTCCTTTCATTGACATTAGTGAAATTCAAAATATTGTTCAGCTTCTGTTACTAATATTATTAGTATAAGTATAACACATTATTCATGGTTCGATATTCGTTTGAAACGAAAAATTTCATAATATATATAGATCTAGGCCTAACACTTCCTGCTAAAGCCATCGTTATGTTTCTCGAAACGGCGACACTACAAGTTACATAGCATATCGTTATCCATATATTTATCAATGCGCATGCTCTAATAATGACGCCTGAAAAACTCACCCAATAATATTATTACGCTATTTTTTAGACCTCGCGCGCAAGTAATTATGCCTCTCTAAAATAAAAACAGAAATTAACTTGTTGTTGATTTTTATCACACAATGGGCTATATGCGCTTTGTCCACGGCAGGAAATAAAATAACAACAACCGAATTTAAGCGTTCTTAAACTTATCACTAACATACCGGAAGGGGTGACATTAATACCACACACATTATTTTTTGTGAGTGAATTTACTGAGTATATATATATATATCTTCTTTGAATATACTTCTTCTAATTAGTAGTGATAGTTCTATTTTCTCTCTGTCATTAACCAATAAATTAAACCAAATATCACAAAAAGGATGATTTTTATTGTTTTATAGAGTTCTTTTAGTAAACGTAAAACTCTTCTAAAGTGCTGTTAAAGAAACTTTTTAACGGTTTAAACTGTATGTTTGCTGTACAAGCTGGTGAAATAATGTGTAAACAAAGTTACTCTAGTCTAGTGTCACTGAAGTTACTATAAGCTGACATCAATATCTGAAAACATAGCTGAGAAAAGTTTTTATATTAATATTTCAATGCTCAGCTCTCTTCAAATATCATTTGTTGTCTGTGCACTTATTAGCAATTTCAAGAATTATTAAAACCAAGGAGAAAACTTAAAACGTGTAATTTATTTCACACATTTTTAACACTCAACAATTTAATTTATATAAACAGTGGCTAAATGAAACAGCTTTATATGTACGTTAATAATGCTTGAACAACACGTTTCTTACTTGAAAGTATTCAATAGTTCATCTTGCCTAACAATATGCAATCTTGCATGATTTTAATCACAACTAAATTTCATTACTTTTCCAACTTTAGGGTTTCACGTCTAACAGCAATGGTAAATTTTGATTAATTATACTTGTCGTAAGACAATAGTATTAGGCCTAATACTAATGTCTTATGACAAGTATAATTAATTATAATCATGTTTTGCCAGCTTGGAAAAGGTGTTCACACCGTAACAAACGTTAATTTTCTTTGCGCGGACGTCAAAGCAGTTAGACATGAAAAGAAAAAAAAAAGGAGGCAAACACTGTTAGTCACCAAATTAAAAGAACTCTATTGATGACTATGAATACATTTCAACCAACAGCCCTTCATCAGATTTCCAGTGACAGAAAAACATATTTTAAAAGAGATAGGGTGTAAAAAAACAACGAAAAATAGAATTCATCAATAAACTTATTTTAATTTGGAGTGCGTTTTACCTGGATTGTTTTATTCTACATCATGTAGTTTCCTTGCCCACGCAATTCTTTTTTTTTTACCAGAACACATTTAGGCATGCATATATTATGATATTGGCTAAGATCCTTTTGTATCTTTTTTATATATATTTTTGCCTGAAAGAAAACCATTAAAGTTAAGTTATTCAAAGCTGAAAAACTAAAACATGTCACCTTTCTGCTTTCTGAGAAAAGAAAACCATTTGACTTGATCATTTGAGTAATATTTTTTATCTCACTGCACTTTGAGACTGAGTGAGGTTTAGTAAGTAGAATTAGATAACTTTATGCAAGGTTTTTTGAAGAAGAAAAAAAAAAGACTTACAAAGAGAGTACATTGAAGTTTACAACGTGACTGTTATCATTGTTTAATGAAATATGTAGGTAACCCTTAACTACAAAGGCGGTATCTCTATATGGTTTAAGTTATTATTGCTTTTGTTAATTAATTTTCGTATTTGTAATTTATTTAATATTCTCAAACTTACAAATACGTTTCGTATGCATGTGTTTGTTTGTTTTAAACAGATTATAGTTGTTTTTGTAATATAAACTATTGGATCTGTATGTAAAATCATTTGTGCTTAACGCTAGTAACGTAAACATGTGTGCAAATGGTGGAATAACTGGTTATAAAAATTCTCTAACGGTGGGTTAAAATGAACGTTATAGATGAAACATTTCCATTATCGAGATAGCACGATTCTTATGCAAACACTCTAAACTGATTCTGATTGGTAGCTGAAAGATAACGATAATGTTTGTTTGTTTTGAATTTCGTACAAAACTACACCAGGGCTAACTGCATTAGCCGTCCCTAATTTAGCAATGAAAGACTACAGGGAAGGCAGCTAGTCATCACCACCCACCGCTAACTCTTGGCTACTCTTTTACCAACGTCACATTTTAACGCCCTCACGGATGAAAAGGCGAGCATGTTTCGTGGGAAGGGGATTTGAACCCGCGACCCTCAGATGGAGAGTCAAGCGCCTTAACCACCTGGTCGATAAAGTGTTTGTACCTAACAATAACGTAAAAGTTGAAAATATTTTTATGTTGCTAGATACAGTGTTGTATGACCCAATTCTGTCACGAAAATATTTTTATTGCATAATAACTGTACATTATATTAAAAGAAAAAAGTTACACTTGCTAAGCTCATACATTCTAAGGGGTGTTGCAAAATAAATCCCACTTTTTCCCCGAGAGCATAACAAAGTAAAATAAGATTTAAATTCAATCCAAAAAGCAATTTTAACTATCAATATCGCTTGATTGGGCCATCATTGTTTTCCCGCACGAGTTTTAATCGACTTACAAAATATTTCAGCAATGCAACAAACATGTCTGTTTTTGTGGCTGTCTCTGTGAGTACATCAGTGAGAACACGAATCAAGGTTTCACGTTTGTGTTGTGGCGAATTTATTATTATATATTTATTTCGATATCAACGTTTGTTTAGATTAAATTTGTATTTATAAACATACATAACTTATACTATTAAATATACATTGCGCAACTCCCGCCTATTCTCTAAAGTTGTATAAGATTCTCGAGTGTAAGAATCAACAATATATGTATATATGTAAACGTTTAGTGTAGTTTTGTATTGTTACGTAATCCGAATTTTTTAGAAATTCTCCACACGCCTATAAATATAACCAGCGCGACGCGCCAAAAAAGACTATTATTAGTTTGCTATAGTCAGTGTGCTATAAACTTCGGTAGCTGTAACTGTGATTGTTATAACGCTTATCAATCGGAAAACTTCAGATATTTGACCAGAAGCATTTATCAATTTCGAATATTACAAATCATTCAACGTCAGTGGATTCACATCGGACATTAGTACTTTTACGAAAACATTACCTAACGTCATCGGTGAAAACATGACCTGTAATCTGAGTGGTATCAATGAGAACTACGGGGCTAGCTAGCTCCCTTTTAATGTGAATTATACCTACGTCAACTCGTAATTAACTCGCTCATGGTGAACCCTCGATAAGATATCGAAAAAGTTACAGACTAGAAAAAAGACTTTATATTGGTTGTAAGTTTTAAAATTTTTGTATATAAATTACTGTTCGTTATAACTATTTGTAATAACTATTATTGTAAATTGTGTTGCTGTTTGCATATTAAAATATATTTGTATTAAAAAAGAAAACCATGTGTATCAATAAACTGACTATATATCGGCTTTTACTTAACTGCTAAATCCAAAGTACAGTTTAACTACTATATTTAAATTATCAGTTAACTCAATTTCAGGCTATTTGAAATTCTAATACGTAACCGTGTCTCTCGCATTCAGGCTAAGTTTCCAACATTTCTTCTGTGCATTGTTGAACGAAAGCTCCGACATTTTCGGTGGGATTTAGTATTGCATTAATAGCTGGAGTACCCGTCCCCTGGACGGAAGTTGTGTAAATTCATGATTATTGAAAGGTTGTCTTAGGACATGAAAAGTTGCTTCCCTTATACGTGATTGTAAAAAACGCCCATAAAAACTGCAAAACACAAAATGTGAAATCGCAAACTTGCATGTATCTTCGCATAGACTCTATAAACCTTCATGCCAAATTTAGTGAATATTCATCCACAGGAGGTGAGGTACTGGTAAAAGACGCCCATAAAAACCGCAAACTGCAAAACTGAAAATCTGCATGCATCTCCCCATGGACCCAATGAACATCCATATCAAATTTGGTGAATATCCATCCACAGAAGGGGAGGTAGTGGTAAAAACCGCAAAACGCAAATGCCAAACTGAAAATTTGTATGTACCCCTGCATGTACCTAATGAACCACCTTACCAATTTTGGTGAAGTTCCATCCAAACCCTGCAAAGACATGGACATACAACAGACAGTATTATTATATTTATAGATAATCCAATAGGCCTAATATTGGGGATAAAAAATCACGTTAATTACAGATGATAGCAGTAGTGGAAGCCAGCACCCTAGTACAAATCACGTTAATTACAGATGTTAGCAGTAGTGGAAGCCTGCACCCTAGTACAAATCACGTTAATTACAGATGTTAGCAGTAGTGGAAGCCAGCACCCTAGTACAAATCACGTTAATTACAGATGTTAGCAGTAGTGGAAGTCAGCACCCTAGTACAAATCACGTTAATTACAGATGTTAGCAGTAGTGGAAGCCAGCACCCTAGTACAATATGATTCCCTAAAAAAAATAAAGGATGAGATTAATTTTTACTTGTTCTTTGTAGTGGGTATGCAGCACTGAAAGACCAAATTATCTCTTCTTGAAAGTATATTATGTTATGCTAACTATTAATTTTACTTTCAGACTATACTTTAACTGATATTTCAATATACGTATCAATTTTTATACTAGGGAAGATACAGATACTGACGAATGATTTTTCCATACGATATAAATCTGTATGTGATTTATTAATTTTCAAATGTTTACAAAATCATTTAAAATTTGCATTGAACAAAAACTGTCCCCTAACATTTTTCATTTTATTTTCATTAAATTTTTTTAAACATTGTTCAATGTAACCTTGCCTAGCATATTAATGAGATCAATAAATTTCTATAACACAAAATTTGTTTTTTTTATACGTGCATTGTATGTTACTACTTCAGCTGTATTAAATTCAACAGTTTATTCTTGTGCATTTATTTCATTGCTTACAAATACTAAAGTACTTCCAGATTTATTATAATCTTTGGCTTTATAGTATTTTTATACTCCTTTATATTATATAAACTTAACTCTTCGTTTTGGCCTGATTTCTGTAAGTACTATGATATGTATTTTCTGTGGGATTAATTGTAAATAAGTAACACCAAAAATCAAAATCCTTACTTAGACTACGTATATTCATTTGTATTGCATTAATCATATTTGAACTAGCAAAGAAATCATTCTTATACTGATTATCAATCATCAGTTCCTGAATCACAGTTTTTTGTTAACACCATCTTATAATTTAGTTAAAACCTGCTCACTTTTAATTCTTATTGCCTTTTTTATTTTCTGATTGTCTTACTAGAATTTTTTTTCTTTAATACAAATATATTTTAACTTATTTCTTTTTTTAAGTTCAGGTATTAGATGTTCATTTAAATCAGTCGTTTTGATCACTTTCTTCACTTCTTGTTGAAACCATTTATTTCTAAGTTGTCTATTCAAAAATTGTACGATAATTGGCCTAGTTTATTTTCTTATGATTCCTTTTGTTACTGTATGGGCTATTTGAATATCTTCATCTTCTACAGTGATATTATCTGCCTTTGCAACTACTTGAATAATTTTTGTAAGATTGTCTTCCTTGTACTTATGGTACCCCTTGAATTTCGATATACATAATTCGTGAATACTGTTGAGAGTCAATTACTTGTTCTTTAAATATGTTGATCTCCTGTTGTTAATATTTTGCAACATTAGTTCCCGATTTTATTGTTTAATATCTTTTATATTAGCCATGATTTCTGACATCACTTTTATAAATTCATCAATTTTGTTTGAACAAAAATCTACTGATGTTTTAAGATCGTTCTTGTCAATTTTACACTGTGTTACCGCCATCTATCTCTAAGTTGAAGCACTGATATATCTTTTTTTCATTTTATAATTATGATCGAGAAATGACTTGTCAATTTGATCTAGTTTATATTTTTGTATTGTTTGAATATCCTATCGTATTTTCATAATGGTTACATTTCAAAAATAATAAAATATTCCTGAAGTGTCTGGGATCTAATCCATAACCGTAGAGCATCAGTAAGTATTCTTATGTGTGATATACCAACCGATGCAAAGTACAATTTTATTAGATAATTTTGTTTGTTTTCTATCCGCCGCTGGTATCAAAACCCGATTTTAATCGTTATTAAACGCTCAAACTTGCCATTTAGCCACCTGAGGGGATAGCGTCTAGTCAAAGTTATATTTTTATTTCTTCTTATACCTTTGAAGAGAACATGTGAAGAAATGCTAAGTTTATTTGTCTTTTTTTTTCACTGCAAAAAAGGGAGGAAAGTAGTTGTGGCCTAGGAATCGACGGATCGGAAGATCCGAGGCTCGCTAAACACTTTTAGCTGTTTATGCGCTATAAAAGTGACAGTCCATCACCTTTATGGCGGAAGGTGCTACTGCTTGACCTGGCTATTTAGAACATGTGCGCCTAAAGTGTCGTTGTTGCTCCTAATTCTGTTAATGTGTGTGTTTTCGAAAATATTTCTGTCTTTGACGTTCTACTGTTCGTGATCTTTCGCTACAATGGAAAATACTGAGTAGTTCAATTATCAAAATTATCTTTTGTAAGACTACATACTTTAACAACATCGCTGTATGAACTTCTCTTCATAAAATATTCGCTTTTTTAATTCCTCGAGCCATAGATCTATTTGTGGCAATATTACACTGCTGAATGATTGATAATTTACCACAAATCAAACATATAGGTGCTAAACATGTCGCTAGTGGATCTTCGTCTTGAATTTGCGGCGTCACATTTCTGGACCAGCATATACAAATCTTTCTTATTAAATTCGAACAACCTTCCGTACTCTCTTGAATTCATTTATTTTAAAGCTTAAATAATTTTCATTTAAATTAGCATTTGAATTTACGATACTAAGAACTTTACGTACATAATATTAATTCACACACTTGATCTTAAAACCTTTCGCCTCCAGTGGCACAGCGGTGGCAGAGCACAGATATTCATTGTGTAGTTTTATGTTTAACTTCAAAATAAACAAATATTTAAACCTTTAAGAATTCTCAGGGGTTTCCAGCTTCAAGACTCTTCAGCCTTTATTTATAATCTTAATTATTAAAAACTATCATTAAATCATCGTGTTCCTTGTATTATTGACTTTCTGATGTTCCCAAAAATTTCTTACAAAGGTATTACTTATTCATTTCCCTGTCATTTCCTTAGAAATCAATAAATACAATACTATGGAATACATTAACTGTTCATAAGCGATTAAAATAAGCATTATAAAACAATAATGAATATAATATAAACCAAAACAGCACAATATAATTGAACTTCAAAACCACGCCTCCGCTACCATTTCTTACTGTCGTCCTTAAAGAAAAATTATGTCAAATTGGATAATGCCTGTGGTCATAGCACCCAAATGCATTGGGGATATTCCATCTACCAGGCAAAATCCAGGAAAACTTGCCAGCAACTAAGGAGAATCAGTTAAGGGTTGGGAGTTCAGTGTTTGTACCGCAACGTCTCAAACCAACCACCTTTCGCTGTCTGCAGTCAGTTGTGGGAAGGCAGTGACTCTTAATACTTAGAAATAACTTTAATGTAGAATTAAACCAACCCGATAAAAATTCGATAAAATATTTTACAAAGTAAAATACCCAACCTCCATCCTTTCAATTGATGTTATAAATAATATAATATTCTTACAGTAGAACTAAACCACCCTTAATTTCTACAGAACTCCCAACCTCCACCCTTTTATTTGATGTTATCAATTATAGTTGACACTGATGCTTTCACAGTTCTGCCATGTACTTGATGGTAGAAATGAAATGGAGTTGAGACAACGTTTGAAGAATAGACAAACGTCATTACTAGAAATGTTGTACGCTCATTTGAAGCTCTGCTTTCTTCTAAACAACATGAAGGTCTAGCTCGTGAAAACAGATGTGGATAAAGGGATGACTTTAAAACGTTTTTCTTCACTATCATCAATAGACAGCAAATACCTAACTATTAGAAACAATGCAAGGTGTATTTTCTGTCAAGGAATATGCTAACATTAGCTTCCGATCCCAGAAAGTTACCTATTTAGAGCGAAATTGAAAAATCAACCCAGTAGCGAGTATAGTTTGTTAAGTATACTTTTCTCACGTTCTTGCTTGTAAAGTTTAAAATGTATTGTTTCATTATTTGGGTACTCTCGCTATTAATTATATATTTCGGCAGTAAACTCAATAATATCTCAAGAGGTTCGACCAGTCTGTAAGTTTTAGGTTAGTCCTACATACATATATTAAGCTAAAAAATTCAAAACGTTCGTTATAATAAAAGTATAATAATAAAAATTAAAGTTAGAAATAATAAAATTAAATATATTAAATACTAGCCATCCTTACCTGGTGTTGCCCGGGTATTACCTGAACAGAAGGCCAATGTTTAGCTATTTTTAAACAGAAAGTATCAAAATTTCGCTTTTCATGTAAAAATACATGCCAAATGCATAGAGGTACTAATACTGAAAAAAAAGGCATACTGTTTTCAAGCATTCTATAAAATTAGTACGAACAAACATTTAAATATAATCACTTTCGCCAATAATATGAATTCTAACACTTTTATGTGTGGTTTTTAAAACCTGTTGTTACAAAACTGTTGTTGTTTTACATTATTAGCGGAAATGATAATATGAATTCTAACACTTTAATGCGTGGTTTTGTTTAAAAAATGTAAAGTAATAACAGTTTAGTAACAACAGATTTTTAAAAAACGTTGTACAGAATAAAACCTAAACTCTTGTTCACCCCTCTATATAATTAGTATAATCAATCACTCTCTCAGCTAGCCAAACTACTCAACCTAGTTTGGAATATAGAATCAAGAGAATATTTAGAAACTTACACAAACACAGTATCTATGTGGTTTCGATGCAAAATGAAACCATTAATTTTGAAATGTATTCGAAGTATGAAATATCCCTTTATTTTTTTCTCTACATAATACCTATAATGTATTTTTCTTATGTTTATTATATCGAAGCAATCGATTTATATTCTATATTCATCACAATTCTATGTATTTAATAACTTTAATACCAGATGTCAGTTATTGTTATGACTGTTGCCTAAATACCTATTTTAAAACGGAGTTCCACAATTAAAGATTTTTATCGCTCAGTACATATTAATTTACCTACGTTATAGGTCTTAAACAACATTTATTATGGGCTAATTAAACATGATATCCCTTACCTTTTGTAATACTTTTTATGAGTAGGCGTTACCTCTTTTCACATTTTCTGGTGAAACTCGCAGTTGAACTGCTCGTTCAAAAATGATTCTATGAAAGTTTTGCATCATTCGTATCTCCTTCAATTTTTTAAATCTTTTTAAAGGAAAGTCGTTATTACCCGTGCAGCGAAAAATCAAATTTGACTTTTATTTCAAATTTGTTTTTTCGCTGCACTGGTAATAACTATTTTTATTTGAAAATATTTTTTATCAATTTGAAAATCAGAAATACAAACGAACAAACATTTAAATATCATATTTTCCGCCAATAATATGAATTCTAACACTTTTATACGTTTTTTTCTTTAAAAAACAACCTGTTGTTACAAAACTGTTATTATTATTAAACACTTATTACCTAACAATTTGTTGTACCAAGCGACAGATGGCAGCATATACTTCTCTTTTTTTTTTATTGCTTAAGGGCTATAGGAGAGAGAGAAAGATCCGGTGGCGCAATGGTAACGCGTCTGACTCCAGATCAGAAGGCTGCGTGTTCGATTTACGTCCGGATCATTTGTATTTTAACGGGCTAAGGACCTGATGGTCCCCTTCCCCCTGAAATTATTCCTTTAAAATCTATCTGAATAAAGTTTACTTAAAATACAAATTGATTCCTAAATTCACACGATGTGAACTTCATACTCCGTATGCATGTCTGGATCTTTCTGTCTCCCCTCGTCGACCTCATCCATTTCACAACATCTGGATAAGAAGAGCTACCCCTTACGTTTGCCGACCTTCTTCACGGCTTATCTCTCAAAAATTCTCTTAAAGACTCTCGTCAGTGTCTACAATCACGATTATAGGGAGAAAAAATAATACTTCAGAATTCCCTTAGTATGCATGAAAAGTTTCAGGTCTCTAAGTTTTCTTCCTCTTGGAGCTATGTCGAGGATAAAATGCAAAGACTTGTATTGAATGAAACCTAAATAGCTCCTGCAGATGGCTGTGTTTTCAATTTTAATAGATAAGAGGATTAACCTATTTTCCCGACATAAGTTCATTTGTTTATTTGAAATTAAGCACAAAGCATCACAATGAGCTGTCTGTGCTTTGACCACCACGGGTATCGAAACCCGGATTCTAGCGTTTTAAGTCTGCAGACATACCGCTGTGCCACTGGAGGGCTGTTTTATTAGTATAGATTTTAACCAATACTGCGTAGTATGAGTCACGTGTTTCGATACATCATAAATGGGGAAGCTACTAAAACTAACCACCGAAAGAAGTTTTACATCTTCTTGGATTCTAGAAGTTTTATATAAACGTGGTGCTAACATCTGTTGACCTAAAGTATGTGAATAATTAATTAGAATTTGTTCGTTTTAATTCTAGAAGAATGCAGTTTATCTTTCTTTCTGGTGTGTCCCCCGCTAAAATCAGGGGTTCGATTTCTCTCGGTGGACACTGCAGATAGCTCACTGTGGCTTTGCTATAAGAAAACACACACACACACACACACACGTTCTGGCAACTTTATTAAGACCTATCTATCTTTTCACACTTGAGCCTGATCTGAGCTGCCATTGCAATTTAGATTGATCACCTGAGGTGATCCCTGCAGTACTCTAAACACATTTGCAGTTAATCCAACAGATATTGGGAAAGGTAAAGATGTTGCAGTGTTGAAAAGATGTATGATAGTGGATACACGTCTAGTAGGTGTAACATTGACCAAGACAGTTTTGTTGGTAGGCAATACAACGGCAATTCGAGTTTATCAGCAATGGAAAAAAGGGGAATAAAATGTCTGATGCGAGGAAGAATTGTGGCTACAAACATTTAACTACAGAAAGGAGAGAAATGCGGTTAGACAAGATAGTAATATCCAACCGTCATAAAACAATAGATCTACTGACAGAAATAGTCAACATAGGTCAATCCACACCCATCAGCCTTACTTTGTACAGAATGTTATAATGAATGGACTAAGACAATAAAATGCTATTGTTTCGACAACTTATTTCAGTTACCAACAAGAAAAAACAGTTCTATTGATGTACGATACGTAGACATTGAATCAATAATGATTATCGAAAAGTGATATGATCCGAAAAGTCACACTTTATCTTGTTTTTGCATAGATGGAAGAAGACAGATATGGAGAAAGACACATGAATAACTCAACCCCTCCCAAGTGTCTGTGCCTCTGTCGGCAGAATCGTGGTTTGGGAATGTTCTCTTAGTACACTATGGACCAATTCGTATCATCCGAACGCAGAATGAATGCCATAGCTTACCTCACATCAAATGCATCCATCAGTGTTTCATTTGGACCCTGATGGAAATGACTACTTCCAACATGACAATTCTCCCATCCACCGAATACAAATTGTGTGTGTGAATGGTTTGAGGAAGTGCCAGAGTCTTCAGGCATCTCCTATAGCCACCATAATCCCCGGATCTCAATACAATTGAGCATCTGTGGGATGAGCTTGAAAAAAAAGCATTCGCCACCACGATCCTCTGCCTACCTCACTCCATGAATTGCGTACAATATTAATGTTTATTTGTAATTAAGCACAAAGCTATCTGTGTCATGTCCACCACGGGTATCGAAACCCGGTTTCTAGCATTATAAGTCCGCAGACATACCGCTGTGCTACTGGGGGGAGGGGGGAGGAACAACATTAATGATTGAGTAGAGAAATATTCTTCAGAACATCTTCCAGTACCTTGGGGATTATATGTCACGTCGTCTCGTGACTGGTATTCGGAAAAAACACAGTTTAAACCGTTATTAGGTAAAAGTGCGAATAAACTGGCCAGCACGTGTATGTATTTACGGACAATGTTTAATAAGTAGTTGAATCACAAAACATATACAAATGAACTACATTTTCACAGACACACACAAAAAATCATTCCTCGTACATATTGATATGGAAGAGCCAGATATTACCCTATGGAAAATAAAAAGGACATGTATAATCGAGGAAATGATAGGAAACAGTGTAAAATATATATTGGCAACAATATTGTACAATCCTCACTACCATTTTACTATTCTCAGAGAAATAAGTCCGAAAGTGGAATACAAAAGAACTGGGTAAACCAGGTTTATTCAATAAACGTGCGATAATAAATAATAAATAATAAATCTATAAATAACGAAAATGCGCCACTAGAGGTCACTTTTAAGTCCATAATCTTATTGTGTTAAATATTTCTAATGTTTGTTTGTTTTTGAATTACGCGCAAAGCTACACGAGGGCTATCTGCGCTAGCCGTCCCTAATTTAGCAGTGTAAGACTAGAGGGAAGGCAGCTAGTCATCACCACTCACCGCCAACTCTTGGGCTACTCTTTTGCCAACGAATAGTGGGATTGACCGTCACATTATAACGCCCCCACGGCTGAAAGGGCGAGCATGTTTGGTGTGACAGGGATTCGGACCTGCGACCCTCAGATTACGAGTCGAGTGCCTTAACCACCTGGCCATGCCGGGCCATTTCTAATGTTAAGCTAACAAATAAATATATTTTTGAAAAGAAAGGGTTATTTTATTGCCCCTTGGGCAAGCCTAATCACTTACAAATGGAATACGATAGAAATGATTTTATTAGACGAACAATACTTAAAGAGTTTTATATACGACAAGATCAAACTCATAACTAAGATGATGTAATATTATAAAGTAAATTGAGTTTTTTGCCAACAACTGGTATCAATATCGAACTGGATACATTATTTAATAAGATAAAACTACCCTTGATGTCAACAAAATATAAACATTGTACTAATATCGAGAAGAATACGTAATTTATGTTTCAAAGATATAATCTTTAGTTTGTTTATTTGTTTTGTTTGTTTGTAATTAAGCACAAAGCTACACAATGAGCTATCTATGCTGTGCCCACCACGAGTATCGAAACCGGATTTTTAGCGTCATAAATCCGCAGACATACCGCTGAGCCACTGGGGGGGGGGGGGGTTATAATCTTTAGAAACGCTGATAAAGGGAACACAGTTTGAATGCCAAATAACTTTTGTGACACAATGTTATGGAATACGTAAGAGAAAATACAGCTTATATGAAACTTAAGAACAATGATTCGGATAAAGTTGTTGTTGTTGTTAAGCTCAAAGCTACACAGTGGGCTATCTGTGCTGTGCCCACAATGAGTATCAAAAACTGGTTTTTATCGTTTTAAGCCGATACACTTGCAGCTGAGCCATTGGGGAGGATATTATGATAAATATGTCGAATAGGGACAACTTAATAAATTGTAAATAGATAATTTAGTTAAACTGACTCCTATTACAATTTTTTTATGTGTATTTTCTTAGTTTAAATAATGATTACGCACAACTTGCTGAACCTTCTCGTTACCATAGTAGACATAATGTTGTATTTGTTTGTAGTTAAGCACAAATTGTTCAGAAGTCCTAATTGACAAGTACATTTTACGCGCCAAATTATGTGGTCCATAAGATCAAAATTAGTCAGAAATGTCCAAGTTGCTACCACGTTTACCCCAGAGTTATATGTTGATATTATTGAAAGCTTTATTTTTATTGTTAATTTAAAGCTTGGCTAGATGGCAGAAGATGTTATGATCTGAAAAAGTCGTGTAGTGAGTAAGAGACGACTACAATATAAATATGAATGAATAGTGATGAGTCAGTCAGTGCCAGTCTAACTAATTCAATGGGCAATAATATTTTTTTCTCTGCTCTTATAAAACATGCAACTCTTTCTAAGTAATTTGATGATGCTGATTCTCAAAAATGATGTTGAAAATTACTGATCACTTTATTTATTCATTGAAAATGGCATTTAAGAATGTATAATCTGCATGCTTTGATAGTTTTTTTCATGTTCACAACATGAGTAACAGGAATTGATGGCTTACTGTTCCCCATTGTGTAAAAGTACAGCTTTCAGACTAACTTTAGATGAGTCGATAAAAAGTATCCATTCTTGAGGATGATGTTCAGTACCTAATTCTTCCATTAAACGCAACAACTTTTGTACAAAAATACGAAGTAACTTGCATGCTGTAGTGAGAAGCAAGACTTTAATGGCGACTTCGGTGAAATTAAACTCTTTTTCCTGGAGCTAATAAGTTCCATTGATGTGAAAGAAAGCCAAGAAGTACCCCATGCTGCTTTGATAGAGACAAGTCATGAATCAGATCATTAAGCTCTTCTTATGTGATCAGATGAGGCAGTTTATGTTGAGGTGCTACAGGAATAGAATTACTAAATGAAGAGGGTGAAGATGATTCACTGTATTCTTCGCAGGATAAATCTTCTGTTTTCCAATTCACTAATGGATGTGGCACTGGAAGACCATCCCCATGAGGTACTAATTCCATTGCAGATGCAATATCTGGATATTTAATGTATTGTTTAATTTCGCCTGAATATCCATAAACATTAGTTATGCAAAAATGCCAGTCAGTTAGATGATCTTTGGGCTCACGCCATATCACGGGTACTGCAAATGGCATACTTGCTCTCTTCTTATTCAACCACTGTGTCAAGACAGATGTGCAAACTGTATAACAC